ACCCTTCCTCCGTCTCGTTGATGATGTCGCAGATCTCCATGTTGAGGGCCCAGTCCTCGCTCTGCAAGGAGCCATCGGTAGCTTTCTCTGAGGGAAGGAAAGCACAAGTCACAAAGGCGTGTGGGGTCCCAGATGATAAACTCAAGTGGTGGGTGTGCTGTGGTGATGGGGGTAGGGCGGGAAGAGAGGGAGGACAGTGGATGCTTCCCGGGCACCTAGGATGGCCAGGTGCTGTGTAAGCTATGCCACCTACATTGTCCCGTTTTGTCACTTAATTCTTTTAAATATATTTCATTGATTTTTTTACAGAGAGGAAGGGAGAGGGACAGAGAGCCAGAAACATCGATGAGAGAGAAACATTGATCAGCTGCCTCCCGCACACTCCCCACTGGGGATGCGCCCGCAACCAAGGTACGTGCCCCCGACCGGAATTGAACCCGGGACGCCTGAGTCCGCAGGCCGACGCTCTATCCACCGAGCCAAACCGGTCAGGGCGTCACTTAATTCTTATTAGAAGCCACACTGGGCTGGGAGTGCGCTGTCCTGTGATGGCTGAGAAGCCGTGGCTCAGAGCACCGAACAGGTGAGCAGGTTCTCGAATCCAGCAGCGCTGGCTTCAGAGTGCTTGTTTTTCACGTGACAATAGAGTGTGTTTCTTTTAAATAATGTTTTTGTTAATTTTAGAGAGAAAGGGAGAGAGAGGGAGGGGGAGAGAGAAACATCAATCAGCTGCCTCCTGCATGCCCCCCATTGGGGATCGAGCCCACAACCTAGGCAAGTGCCCTGACCAGGAACTGAACCAGTGACCTTTTGGTGCAGGGGATGATGCTCAACCAACTGAGCCACACCGGCCAGGGCAATATAGAGTGTTCTGTTTTGTTTTTATAAATAAACTATTTCACCTGGTGTTCATCACAGGAACAATGATGGACACTCACACATGTTCTTTAAGAGTGAAGCGCTGTCCCTCCACTCGAACACGCCACCCCTCTCTAGATTCTTCTCACACAGCCCAGTTTTTAAATAAGTTCCACCACAGCGCGCACGGACGATTTTATATGCTGCCTTTTCCAGGCCACATTCCATCACGCACGTACCCCTGGCTGGTACGTCAGGCACACACATGCACTTTTACCACATGTAAGTGTGTGACGAGACAGGAGTTCATCAGCGCTTTAAGGTTCAGACACCAGGGCCGTCTCCCTGGCTCCCAGACCCTGGCTCCAGGCGTGAGTGCTCACACCCCGCCGGGCTCACGTGCCGCTGGCCCCTCACTGTCAGCCAGCTCTCACCTACCAGGAGCACTCGATGGACCAGCACGTGGAACGTGATGTGATGGCACAACCGTCCTGCAAGGGAGGCGCGCATCACCCTGTTCACAGGGACACACAGGCTCAGGGGGCTGCACAGCTGCTGAAGCGCCAGGCCTGCTCACGCGCTGGGGATGCAGTGGCGGACCAGATGGACATGGCCCCAACCCTACGGCGCCCAAAGAGGCTGGGGCTCTGAGCCCAGGCCTGCCAGGACAGAGGGGGCTGTCTCCGTTTGACTGGGAAGGGTCCTGTTCCAGCCAAGCAGGCAGGCCCATCCCATCCTGTAGGGCAATCCCTGGGCGGGGCCAGCAGAGCCAGCTCCCTATAACTGTGGCTTCTGTGACCTTGGTTTTGAAACTGGCCTGACTTCATTCCACCCTGAGTCCTACCTCGGGCCCTGCGGCCGGATGGATGCCAGGACGGCCCAGGACACATGCCAGGCAGCTGAGGCATCCAGGTAGGGACCCAGCGGCAGGGAAGGGTTGCTGTATTCCCTGGATTATGGCTGGGGGAGGGATGAGGAAGGGATCCCTTTAAAAGGGTTGCGAGATGGACTTCTTCACTCTACAATTATGTGGAGTGTGGCTTCTTTGTGTCACACTCTCCACCCTTGGGGACTCATACACTTACTGAGCTAATGGGAAGAACCAAGAATGGACAGGCACCCTCTGAGCAGAGGGTGGACCTACTCTGCGGTTTAGGGGGCAGTGACTAATCACCATGCAGAACCTGCCCCCTCAGAAGCCACGTCTCAGTGACCCGCCACAGGCCGGAAGGATTAGTCACCCGACTCCCGGACTACTCTCACTGGCACATCCAGCTCCCGACTCCCATCCTCCCATCTCCTCACCCGCCCTCCTCCACTGCCCAGCCGGCCACCACCCGCTGCTCTCGGACCACTGCCTCAGCTCCTCCTGCCTCGCTCCTCCCGTCCATTCTCCCTCCTGCCCACACTCAACTTTCTGAGACTTGAAGGTGATTGTGTCCGTCTGGGCCCCAAATCCTTCGAAGGCCCTGAGCCCTCAGCCAGGCCCCAGGCCCTTCAACAACAGCAACGCTTTAGTTCCCGTTATACTAGTGCACTCCGCAACACCCGGCACAGGCAGCTGCTCCCATAAGTGTGACTGCTCCTCACAGACGTGTAAGGTGCACATTACCGCCTCCTCTAACTGACGAGGAAACGAGGTGCACGGCTGTGCCAGGTGGTGAGGGAGGAGCGGCCACTGATGCCACTGGCCCATCTCGCTCAGGGGTCGGGAGCTCTGCTTTCCCAGAGGGCTCCCTGGACCACGCAGGCACCTGCCCCTCCTCCCGGACCCCTGGCTCCACCAGCAAGCCTGGAAGTAGCTCCTCTATCAGATCCCTCCGACCCCAGCGGCCCTTGAACATGACGGACACCCCTCCTCTCCTGGGGGAGAAGGCACGGGTTTAGAAGGGGTTACGGGGGCAGTTGGGATATCTGTCAGGATGCCATCCCGAGGAATCAAGGTGGGTGCAGAGGGACCTCGAGCACAAATCTGAGCACAGCTGGCAAACTCTTTAGTCCTCAGTGCCAGCACTGGGCAGAGCCATTCAGAGGATGGAGTGGTTTTGGGGCGGAGGGAGGAAAAAGGGGAGTTTCAGGCAGACTAAACAGGAAGGGGGAGGAAGAGGAGAGAGACAGGCCCATCTGAACAATTTCAGCAGACGAGGGGGTGCCCAGATCAGGCCCGGCCCTTCCACACGCACCACCTTCCTCCCTCCCTTCAGGTGGGAGTGGACTCAGGACTGGGGAGACTTCCTGAATGAAGATTCCATGAGTTGGTGTGTTCCATTAAGGGCAGGAACTTAAACCCACAGGAACCTGGGGATATTTGTTTTGTTCTGTGTTTAACCACAAAAGCAACTCAGCTAGCTATTTTAAGAAGAGGGAATAGGAACATGGACAATGGCGACCAGTTCCCAGAGAGTGACAGCTGACTTCTGACCTCTGAGCTGTCGGTGGCAACCTTCCATGGCCCCGGTAGCACTTCTGCTCTTGTCCCAGCTCCGGAGGAGGCCAGGCCCTGCAAGCCTCCACCAGCCGCTAGTCCGCACGTTGTCTAGGGCTGGCTGGCCCGTCTGCCTGCTCAGTAGCCTGTCCTCTCCATGCTGGGCCTGGTCAGACACCACCTCCCCAGAGGGCTCCAGAGAGCGGCCTGGCACCGCCTGGCACCGTGGCAAGCGCAGTTAGGTGGGGCAGCGGCACAGGCTTGGAGCGGGACAAGTCTGGCCCCACCTCGTCACTCAGAGACCATGGGCGAGGACCCAAGCCCTCTAAGTGTCCCTTTTCTCATCTGTCAAACCAAGATAAGACTGTCGGCTTCGCGGACATTGACTTATCAGCCAGACAATGTCAGGGAAGGAGCAGTGACCAATAGCCACTAGGCACCATGACCTTACTAGGACTGAGAGCAGGAAAGAGTGGCCACCAAAGACACGTCCTCACCACCTTATGTGGGGGGAGGGAGGGCAGGTGATGCCCAGTGCCCGGGAGGGGAGGGGGGGAAACCGCGGCCTGTGTGGCCCTAAACTCATACACTCTCACCCTGCTCTGCCTGGAGGATGTCTCTTCTGCCTTGGGTGGGCTCTGAGCTCTTGGGGACATCTCTCTCTCACCAGCCCTACTCTCCGGTGGGGCAGAAAGCAGGGGTTCGGTCAATGTTTGTAGAAGGGCTGGCTGAGCCTCCAGGTGGCCTCGCTGCTCCAGGTCACTGCTGAGTCCCCTCCCCACCCCTACCCCCACCCTGGATAGCGCTCTCTGTTCCACTGACCCTAAGCTCCCCCTTTCCACACCTGAACCCCTTGATACTGGGATGTTTCTTACAAAGGATGACCTATCAGAGCTCAGTTGGCAGCTTTTCCTTTTTACACTTCATGATGTCTTAGATTCAATGAAATACGGTCTGTAAATAGCAAGGGAATGCCTTCAAGGCCCATGCGGAAAGCAGACCTACCCACCAGTTCCCTGACCAGGGGACAGGGACAGACCGGGAGCTGGCTGACCAGGTGGAGAAGACAGCCACATGCTGCTCAGCTCGGGCGGCTCCCACAGGCCCTCTCCTGAGAGCCCCCTCCGATGACTGCCCCTCCGCGAGCGCACGCACAGTCATTTCCTTTTTAGTCATTTCACATTTACTGATGCCGTTTTTCCAGTGTAAAAGTCACGTACTCATATCACTCAAAGGACCCACAGTGACCCTTTGTGAAGATTTCTATCTAGTCTTGACTGTTTTCAGGCTTTAAAAACACATCGGTACAAGTTTTAAAGTGTATAATAGTACTAGCAGCCGTGCGCATGAATCTGTGCGCGAGTAACTCGCTGCCGCTTGCCTCAGCTGGCCACCCACCCACCCACCGCTGCTGGTAGTTCTTCGCTGCTTGTAGCTCTCTGGCCCACTGCCCTGCCCTGCCCTCCTGTAGCTCTCTGCCCACTGCCCCACCCTCCTGTAGCTCTCTTCCCACTGCCCCGCCCTCCTGTAGCTCTCTGCCCACTGCCCCGCCCTCCTGTAGCTCTCTGCCCACTGCCCCGCCCTCCTGTAGCTCTCTGCCCACTGCCCCGCCCTCCTGTAGCTCTCTGCCCACTGCCCCGCCCTCCTGTAGCTCTCTGCCCACTGCCCCGCCCTCCTGTAGCTCTCTCTCCTGCAGCTCTCTGCCCACTGCCCCGCCCTCCTGTAGCTCTCTCTGCTTGTAACTCACTGCCCCGCCCTCCTGTAGCTTTCCACCACTTGTAGATTGGTCGTGATGTTATGGCGTAATGGATAATTAGCATATTCCTCCTATTATATAGGATTATGGCTATGGCTTGTTTGTATTAAAATAATAACCCTATTCCATAACTTTTAGAGACACACTGAAATATTGATGAATGAAATATGATGTTTGGAATTTGCTGTAAGTAACACCCCTCTGTTTCCTTTCCCACCCTCCATCTGCCTCTGCCCCGAGGGTCCCTTAGCCCCTCCACTCTGGCACCTGCTTTCTGCATGCCTTCTTCCTGCCACCTGTTCCCCTCTCTGCCCTCCCCCTATGCTCCTGAGCTGCTGTTGTATGTCCAGTTCTGTGCCAGGTGCTGGAGGAGCAAAGATGGAGAACAGAATCCCAGCCCTTGAGGTGGTACTAGTGGTCAGGGTAACAGCTGGACAAGCATTCTTAGTGCAAAATGGACAAGTGAGAGGACGGAAGTCAGTTCCGGGGTCCTGTGGAGCTTCGAGGAGGGTGAGCACCAGTGAGGGCACCGGAAGATTCAGCAGGAGGTGCCGTGGGAGTGAGCGTAGAGCATGAGCTCCAGGCCTGGAAGGTGGAGGAGAGGTTCGGGTGGAGGAGGCATGAGCTGAGTGAATGAATCAAGGAGGATCAACAGGACGGTGGGAAGAAGGAGGGCTTGAGGGACTAGGAGAGGGACCTCAGGGAGCCTGGAGGTCCCAGGAGGAGTGAGGCAGCCAGGGGAGAAGGGAGTGGCTGCTGAGGCAGAGGGACAGACCAACCTCAGGCTGGAAGGAGGGACTCAGGCAGGCAACCACACCAAGCCCCACAGCGGCAGCCGCCTTCCTGGCCCACCCCAGAGCCGAGCCGTCCCTTCCTTCTCACTGCCCAAAGCAGCCATCTCATAGCCCAGGGTGCCTGGTCCAGAAGTGGGCAAGCGACCTGTTCTGACCCCTGGGGAGTAAGGACACATCTGCTGGGTGGCACTGCTGAGAGGCGCTGCTGGGACACAGGGGCACAGCCCAGGAGGGGAAGCCTTTTCTTCCTTCCTTCCTCCCTCCTTCCCTCCCTCCCTCCCTACCTTTTCTCCCTCCCTCCCTCCCGTGAGAGGCTAGCATGGGAGCATGGTGCCTGCAATGTAAGCCTGGGAGGTGACTAGCTCAGACCAAAACAACATGCTAAGGACAGAGAAAGAGCCTGGATGTTAAAGACATCATTGACTGTCGCACCAACCCTGAAACCACCCGCCTTCAGACTTCTTGTTAGGCAAGCATCCAGAGTGGTGGTGGGCTCGGCCTATGGTGGCCGGGTCCCTGTCACCTGTGGCCAAGGCCCCCTGACTGACAGCTTTGTGGTGCCCTGGCTTCCCCACAGGACTGCTGCACTCTGGAATCAGAGCTACCCTGGGCCTCACAGGCGCTGTTGGCCAGACGCTGGGTGGAGAGCTGGCCCAGCCCTTCTCCCTACTTCCTCCTCTCACCTTGGCCTTCTGCCCGTCAGTCCTACTCCTTCAGGGTTCTGTGTTCCTTCCAGGAATGTGCTCCTCCCCACCCCTCCATCTCAACTCTCCTAAGCCCAGCTCAAGGTGGATCTCTCCCTGTGGAGCCTGCTCCTTCACTCTGGCCAGCAGCATTTCGCACAGACCACAGCTACCAGCTCTGTTTCGTGGAGTTGGTAAAATGCCTCTATAGTACTGATTTCTTTGTCTCTCCCATTAGGCTGTGAGCTCAAGGGTGGAAATTATAGCTCATGAATCAACAAATTCTCTACACTAGACGGGACCTGCAGTAAATGTTTGCTGAATGACTGAATGAAGGATGAGGCCATGTTCATCTGCACAAGAAACCTTTGTAAGACTTTAATTTAAATAAAATACCCCCACCTTTTGGCCCCCATTGATTCCTTAATAGCTTATGTGCAGAAACCACGAACTTGCTTCAAATGGGCAGTCCTGTGACTATTTTTGGAAAGTATTGTGCCCTTCCTAACCTGCCCCATGCTAAGTAATCTGCCCCCATGCTAAGTAATCTGCCCTATGCTAAGTAATCTGCCCCCCATGCTAAGTAATCTACTCCCCATGCTAAGAAATCTGCCCCCCCCCATGCTAAGGAATCTGCCCCCCCCCCATGCTAAGGAATCTGCTCCATGCTAAGGAATCTGCCCCCCCATTCTAATATCGTGCTCCTGTGAACACTGCACCAGGACCTGCTCTAGAGCCTTCCCACGCTGACTGATCCTGCTGGGACGCAGGCCAGCGGCCCTCCATCCGGAAGCTCGGAACTCGCTTACCTGCTCACGCTGGAATGGTATTGTATTAAGGCACCTGGAACTATAGCAGGTATTTATTAACCCCACCACATGGAGGGGACTCCAAGAGTCTGTCCTGAAGACACTTTCCCCTGGTCCATGGTGTTTAGCTTTTCTAGTCTCCTCGCAGCCAGGAGTGGCCCTGTGACCCTGTGACCCTGTGCTGGCCCCTGAGACAAAGTGGAATTCCTTTGGGCAGCTGCAGCTGGGGCCTTGCCGGTGCTTCCTGTTCCGGGAGGCAAGCACCAGGATGAAACCATGTGCTAAAGGTGGGAGGGGGTGGAGGACGGGGGAAACATAGACAGAACCATCATGAACACACTCGTTCTAGAATCTAGATGGACCCAGACATTTTCACTCAAGGAAATCCAGCAGGTCCCTTCAGTTCTATGGGGAAGCAATGAGGTAGCAAAGTTAGGGTGTGGGATCTGGCCACAGACACATCCCAGTTCAAGTCCTCACCAGGGGTGGCCGGGAGTCAGTCCTCTGGGCCTCACTTCCTCCCCTGCGGAATGGGACTAAGGCACTCACTCACCTTGCAGGGCTGTGTGAGCGCGAATGAGAGAATGCACTTTAAATGCCTGGTCTCCTATCTAGCACACAGCAAGCACTAAAACAAACATTTCCGACTACAAATGCAGACTACCCACCCCCCCCACGCCCCTCCCCAGCAAAACTGTCTTGAAGCCAACTTTTCAAATGAACAGCCCTTTCCAGACCAGGCTTGGAAAGTTGCACCCTTTCCTAAGCTGCTGAGCAGTCTTTCTTCAAAACCCTAGCTGCCTTTCCCCTGCCATTTTGTAACCACCAGCCGCAAGAGGAACCCTAAAATACTCTACAAAGACAGCCCACAACGTCCCAGTTGATGTAACCACTGTAGTACCCAAATGAAAATTATCTCAGGTTAAGGAGTTTTTTGTTTTTTTATTAATGTTTGGAGAGAGAGGAAGGGAGAGGGGGGAGGGGGGAGAGAGAGAGGCATCGGTTCGAGAGTGGAATATCGATCGGCTGTCTCCCACATGCCCCGCACTGGTGTTTGAGCCTGTAACCTGGGCTCTGACCGGGAATTGAACCAGCAACCTTCAGTGCACGGGAGGACACCCAAGAACCAAGCCACACCAGCCAGGGCAGGTGAGGGAGGGTTTGAAAAACCTATCCAGATAAGAGAGAGCAGGGCTGTGAAGCAGAGGCTTGAAGTGGCTGGCCAAGGTGTATGTGACACTCTTTTTTCCTCCCCAACCTGTGTGTGAAAGATGTTCTCTCTCTCTCTCTCTCTCTCTCTCTCTCTCTCTCTCTCGGATTGGCTCTGTGATCAAGTCAAAAACCTACAAATAGGCCTGCGGGCTGGAGACCAGGGAACAGGCACAGCTCAGGTCCAAAGGTCGTCTGGCAGAATTCCCTCTTTGGGGAGGCCAGTCTTTCTTTTATTAAGGCTTTCAACGGACCGGCTGTGGCCCACCACTACAGAGGGTAATCTGCTTTCCTCAGCACTAATCTCATCTAAAAACTACCTTCACAGAAACATCTAGAATAAAGTTTGACCAAATATCTGGGTCCCATCGCCCAGCTAAGTTGCACATAAAGTTAACCACCCCAGGGGTTTACAGTAACCAATGCAAACAAGTTCCAATCCAACAGGGGACGACTCTGTCCGTCCTTCAGTTCTCCTCCAACTGTCAGCCTCCTGTGGTCTGGCTGGCCCCCTGCCCCTCTTCCCCCCTCCCTTCCTTCCTGCTCTACCTGCCCCACCAGGAGCGAAGCCCAGCGTCTGTCCTTGGGGCCTGCACAGCAGTCTGGCTCTCCATCAATTGCCAGGTTCCCACAGTCCATCAAGGCATCAGTCCCTGGGAGGTTTTGTCACTTGCCTGGGGACACAGCTAGGAAGGGGTGGAGCTGGCATTTAAACCCAGATGTTCTGACGTAGAAGTCTGGGTTCTGACCCTATTCAGACGGCTTACATCTGAAATGTGCTACCCAGGATCATGTTAGATGGTCTCACGGGTACATTTAAAGACATTTCTAGACTTAAATATTCAATTTAATGTGGACTAGGAAAAGAGCATGAACTAACTCATCAGAGAAATGATTTCATGGGTATAATTACACAGGAAGAGGCCGAATTTAAAAAGGTGAGCCAACAAAAGGAAAACACCACGAAAATAAAACTGAAGGCAGCCCGGGGCAGATATAAAACATCAGGTGGTGCCCGAAGGAGGAGCCTGGAGAGCCTAGCCTGGATCCACAGCCCTGGGCGAGGAGGTAAGGAGTTAACTGGTCCTGAATCCTCCTGCTGCTCATGGGTGATGGCCCCATAGAAGACACTGAGGGATTTTGTTTTTTTCCCCCCTAAAATCAAAAGAGCGGAAATCCGGGACTCTACTCTTATTTCTTTGAGCTCAGTGAGGGAACAAAACCTATTCATCAGCTCCATCCACAGGGGCAGTCAAAGGCTCCAATTCCCAAGTGAGAATCGGTTCTCCCCACACCCTGAAACCTGACCTGTGAATGTGGCTGCCACCCAGCCAGTGACTGCTCTTTCTCAGTGACGCCAAGACAGATACAGGCTGCACGAGAGTCAGGGCCCCGGGCTGGCACCCTGGCTCTGCCACTAACCCAGACTGTGCCCCAGCAATGACGATCCACCAATGAAAACCACACTGGCTAACAATTATGGACACGTATAGTTTGGCAGGCACCGTGCCAAATGCTTCCCAACGTGACAACACAACAACCCCGACCGACAGGTGCTATTATTATCCTTACTTTATAGGCAGGAAACTGAAGCACAGAGAGGTGCTTAACTTGACTCAAGAGCCCTTTCTCGACATCATTCCCTGTGACCCTGAAGACAGACTTTGGCTCCAGCACTTGGAGATCAAGGAGTCAGAGCTTCCTGGCAGCTGTGGGAAGGGGTAGAGATTCTGACTCAGGGGGCCCACGGCTGGAGTGACCTCAAGCATCCCTGATGTGGGCGCCCCAGGACCCCACTTTGAAGACACTGTCCTCCAACATTCTGTCTCTGGCCAGCTGGTCTGACCCAGAAGCCTGCAAACTAGGAGCCCATGTGCCAAATGCAGTGTTTTTGTAGGGCCAATCAAAGTAAGAATGGTCTTTACACCTTTAAATAGTTGGGAAAAATCCAAAGAATAATAATATTTCATGATGTGAAAATTACATGAAATTCAAACTTCAGTGTCCATAACTAAGGTTTGATTGGACACAGTCACGTTCATTCATGGACAGATGCAGCTGCCTCTGCTTCCGTAATATAACGGCAGAGTTGGGTAGTTGCAACAGAGGCCAAATGGCCCACAAAACCAGAAGTATTACGACCGATCCTTTACAGAAAAGTCTGCAGAGACTGGCCTAGTCCACCCCGTAGCCAATGCGGGACTCCTCTTCACAGTCCCTTCCCTCTGGCCTCTGCTTTCACACCTCCAGTGGTGGGGAGCTCACTACCAAGCCAGGCAGCCAGTTCCAGCTCTGAAAGGTGGTAGGGACAGGATCTGTGCTGGCACTGGACTCTCTGAGCCTTGTGGAATCAGCCCTATCATTCCTCCACAATGGCCATCAGTTCCTCTCTTCCCTCTGGTATCAATCCTTCCCTGTCCTCACCTGTCCCCTCAGTTGTTCCCCACCGATCCCCTGGGGAACAGGGAGAACAGCAGGTGGCTCTGCTACTTTACAGACAAGGGTGTGGGCGATGCAGAGGGAACGTGGCAGGAACAGAGCTGGAGCTGGACCCAGGGTTCCTGCCTCCCAGCCTGGTGGCCCCTCGACATCGTTGCTTGAGCGTCCAGTTTGGTTTTTAGCTCATCACTCCCAAAATGGCATCCCAGAGGGCCCGAGGTCTGCTCTCCCTAGTGGGCACCTGTGGCCTCTTGTCCACGATTCCTTCTTGTGGCTCGGCTTTTGTGGCTCCAAGAGCAGCTTTCCCTGACCTTTCCCCTTCTCCCATCCACCCCAGGGTTCAGCCTTAGGCTCTGAGATCTCCCATCACATCCTGCTACCCGTCCCCCTACCCCAACGACTGGGGGCTGGTCCCCAGGGTGCCCACATTTACAGTCGCTGCTGGTGTGCCACTTGCTTTCATGAGTCCGTTGGGTCTCTGGCTCAAAGACCCAGCGGTGAGGTGACAGCCAGAAATTGAAAATGGATTGGTGGGTTGCCTTCTGATGTCTGTCTCTAAGATGTGGCCAGTGAGATGTGTCCTCAGAGAATACCTGGGAAAGGTGGTGAAATCCTTGGAAGAAGGCAGCTGTGTCAACACTGCCTAGTCCTAGTTCTCCCGGATCCTTTCAGCCACAGCCCGCTCCTGGGAAGTCTCCTACTCTCAGGTGAGTGAGAGTGACCTGGAAACGGGCCAGACCCTCGTGTGAGTCACAGCCAGGAAAGCTAGTCTGTAGGTAGAACAGTAACTGTGGATCTTGAAGGGTGGGACTGATGTAAATTTCAACTAAGCAGTGGTCAGCCAGAGGCAGCGTGATGAGGATGCGAGAGAGGAGCCGGGCTCTGTGTCCGGACTCCCACCCTGATGAGCTGTGAGGCTCGGGCAGCGATACCTTCCCTTAGACTTTTGGTGAAAAGGGGAAAGACAGGCCTATCTTGTAGGGCCACCGTGAAGAGTCATACCTAGGAGACGAGCATGGCACCTGGCATGTGATATTTGCTCACAAACTGTTACCTTCCTTTTCTGTTAACATAAAGGGACAGTGCCCTGCTGGTGTGATGATGGTGGAAATAATACAAATGGCGATGGTGACAGCAAGAGCTACGGTTTCACGCCCACCGGCAAGGTGCCAGGCTCTCTCCAGGGATATCTCACTTCATTCTCACACCCACCCTGAGAGGTAGATGCTAGAATGACCACCATTCTACCGCGGAGGAAGCGGAAGCTCAAGCGCAAAGGCAGACAGCGAGGGAGCCCGGTGCTGGGGTGCTTTTGAGAGAGCACAAAAGCAATGGCTGGACCTGAAGGGGTCAGAGAAGACCTCAGGGTGAGGTGACGATGCCTGGGGTCTGAAGGGTGCACAGAGGGGCAGGCTGAGGGAGCAGCACGTCAGAGAAGACCTCAGGGTGAGGTGCCTGGGGTGTGAAGGGTGCACAGAGGGGCAGGCTGAGGGAGCAGCACCGGAGCTCTGTGAGTGGTCCCCCTGATGAACACCATTAGAACCACTGTGCTCGGGGACGCCAATTCTACGGGGCTCTACTCTCAACAGGGACGGAGTCGGCAGCCTTGAGATTATTTTACTCTGCAGTTTACAGAAATACAAGCAGCTAAAACCAGGGCACCAATAATCACAGATATCGGTGGTACTTCTGCTTCTTTATCTAAAAGAAAAAATATGGAATACTGAGGGCATTAACTCAGTGGCTGATATTCTTCATTTAATTTTACTTTTACAGCCTCTTCTGCTTTGGTTCAAACCTCAGTGGCTCTGGGGAGTTCATCTGAGCTTTCCTACCATTTCACTGGGATCCTGGGTGAGTCACACTTTCCAGCTTCCCCTCTCTGGGCCTCAGTGTCCTGTGTAAAATGTGTGGTTCAGTAGATGAGCGTCGACCCATGAACCAGGAGGTCACGGTTCGTTGTTGGTGGAGTGCAGGAGGCAGCCGATCGATGATTCTCTCTCGTTACTGATGTTTCTCTCTCTCTCTTCCTCTCCCTTCCTCTCTCTGAAATCAATAAAAACATATTTTTAAAAAATGAAGGCCATG